CAAACAATCAATCAATCAAGTCTATGCAATGAAGCCCCAGGATAAACTTTGGACACCAAATGCAGTGAGCTTCCCGGGTTGGCAAAACTCCGTGCATATGTCTCAGATCAATAACGGGAGGTTGAGATGGTCATAGATCAACAGCCAGAGGGTAAAATGTCTTGACTGCACCAGGGAGAGGGCGATGGAGGATCAGCCCCTTGCATCTCTCCCTTTGGCTGATTTTAGTCTGTATCCTTTCCCAGTAATAAACCATAACAGCGAGTGTAACTCTTTGTGAGCTCTGAGTCCTTCAAGCCGTTTCTCAAACTTGAGGGTGGTTATGGGGACCCCCTGAACTTGCCGTTGGTGTCAAAAGTGAGGGCAGTCTTGGGGAGAGTACCCTTACCCTTATCCTTTGCAGGCTGGCTAACTCCGGGAGGTGGGTTAAGTAAAACAGATTATTAAAACTGATCTTCCTTGTTTCCACTTACTTTTAAAAATGGGACTCTCAGAAAATTGTAAATTACATCCATGGCTCATCTTTGTAGGTTGCACTGTATTTCTGTTAACAGTACTGCCATCAAGAGTGAGCCTGTGTTTTCATAAAAATTAAGTTTGAGAAAATAACAAGTTTTAGGCCGGATTTTATGCTCAAAACTATATTTATCTATACAGACTCTACATGAAATCACAAAAACAGTAAGAAGCAAAGACCATAAATCTTTCTAATCTGGGATAATTGGAATTTGATTCTGGTTTGATAATAATTACGTAGGGTTAACTAAGTTTGGACCTGAGCCGAGCCTGCTCACCAAAATAAAGGAGAAAATTAAAAACAAAAGCTGGCAGTTCAATAACGCAGCATGAAACTTAACTACTCAAAAATTGCATCACTGTTCCGAACACGTAACTACAAGTAGTCTCTCCACAAAAATCCATCTCAAAGCATTACATAGATATGGCTGAACAATGAACCTTTATATTATTTCTACACAGTTTTCATTTGCAAAAACTAATCAAATAAAGGTATTGAGCTGAACTTTATTGAAAAATCATCCACCAAAAAAAAAAGTACTAAAGCTGTATTAAAAAACAGGTTCACATTAGAATTTAATAACTAACCTCCACCACTTTAAACAATAAAAACAAATTCATCCTTTCTTTTATGAGCTTTTTTGATGCTGCCTGTGATATCATCATCCAAGACAAAACAATTTTTGCTGTCTTCTCCATTTCTTTCTTCAAATGCCTTGTTATTATATTTGGAAAAGCATCTGTCTGAAAACAAAGACTGCTAACCTAGGATGAGGGTAGATGTGGTGTGGCTGACCTCCTGGGTGACAGGCAAATGGTCAACTTAGTCTTGACATGTAAGATGATCCTTCCAGGAGTTCCCCGGCAGTCAGTGGTTAGGACTCTGCGCTCTCACTGCTGAGGGCCCGGGTTCAATCCCTGGTCGGGGAACTGAAATCCCACTTGCTGCGCAGCGCAGACAAAAAAAAAAAAGAAAAAAAGATCTTTTGACAGGACACTGCTGGATATTCTCAACACTGCTAGCAAGCCTGCCCAAAACGTAACTGGTCTATGTATTTGACGCAGTTTTCTCATCATTACATCGAAAAGTTAATCCCAGGCTTCCCTGGTGGCGCAGTGGTTAAGAATCCGCCTGCCAATGCTGGGGACACAGGTCCAAGCCCTGGTCCGGGAAGATCCCACATGCTGCGGAGCAACTAAGCCCGTGCGCCACAACTACTGAGCCTACGCTCTAGAGCCCATGCTCTAGAGCCTGCGAGCCACAACCACTGAGCCCACGTGCTGCAACTACTGAACCCCGCGTGCCTAGAGCCCGTGCTCCACAACAAGAGAAGCCACCGCAATGAGAAGCCCGCGCACCGCAACGAAGAGCAGCCCCCGCTTGCCACAACTAGAGAAAGCCTGCGCGCAGCAGTGAAGACCCAACACAGCCAAAAATCAATCAATCAATCAATAAATAGGTGTTACAATCTCAAGGGATAAGTACCAAGTGTGGCGGATTATTAAAATGGACCTAATCAACGGCTCCCTCCCTGCAGCCCTGCCTTTTAAGGCCACCCTGAAGATCGTCCCATAAGGAGGTAGAGGCTATAGCTCCGTGCTTGACTTGCTCTGGCCCACAGACAGTAGCAAACAGCACACACGCAGAAGCTTGCAGCCTGCGCGTGCACTGGTGCCTGCTCTCTCCTGCCGCTGAGCCTAATAAAGGGCGACAGACCACATAGAGAGAGACACCAACTGTCCCAGCCATCCCAGCCGAGGCCCCAGCACGTAAGCAAAGCCATGCTGGACTACCCAGCCCTGCTGAGCTGACCCCGGCCAGAAATGCCCAGACAACACAAAGCATAAATGATAAATGGCTGTCTTAAGGCACTATGCTTGAGGTGATTTGTTATGTAGCAAAATAACTGATACAGCAGTGAACACATCTGTACCAGTTTTGGAGGGCCATAGGTTTTACAGACAAAGGTGACATTTAAAACTGAGAAGTTAGGGAAAGGGGGGGAAATCATGGAGGATAAACTTGCTTCAGCAGGGAAAAGCTTTCTTTTATGTCTGGCTTAACAGAAGGCAGTTGGAGTCTCATATTTGCTGCTCTATTCAATCTGTTTCCATATGTTGCTTTGGCTGAAGTGTATAAAGAAAATCCTGCTTCTTGCTGATAGGTAGTTAGAAAGGGGAGGAATATTTTAATATGGGCCTTTAAGGAGCCTTTCCAGATCATTATAGGTATTACTCTTGGACATGACACCAAAACTCAACAAAGGGTAGCTTCTTAAAGGTTAGTTGCAGTATGGAACCTGAAATTATATCATACCCTGATATATTCGAATCCATAGGTCTATCTTGCACTTTGATGGATCTGTTATCTATGCATGATTCTGTGATGCCACGTATTAGTCATTTGAAAAATATTGGTTCACTGAGTGATGCAGATCTCACAAATGTTGAACCATTTCATCACACAGCATCCAAAAAAAAAAAAAATTCACATTTGTTAACACAACCACTGATCTCATCAGGGAAGGATGTAAGGGGAAGCTGTCTACTTCCTGGTGGCTTACCAGATTCTAATTTTTGCTTTAAAATTTAAATGATATCATTGGCAATAGATATTACCCGTTGTTTATCTTGAAGTGACTCACTCAATTGAGTCATTTTTAAGAAAATGACTGCCAAATGCCCAAGTCTGAGTAACCATAGTTTGGTTATCAGTCCTTCAGATAAAAAATTGTGTTAAGACATGGCTGGTTCAGTCTGCAACCCCAACGTTGCACCAGGGCCTTTGCTCAAGATAACCCCCATCCCTCATTCAGAGGCAGCAGAAAGAGCTGATACATACTTCCTGTTTCATCACCCAGAACATTAAAAAAACCATATGTATTCAGAGGTTAATGTTTGATAAAAATTTATCATTTTTATGCTTCATCGAGGACATTCTTAAGTGAAAAACTGGCTCTTTTTTTTTTTAACTATAAGTGGGTGATGGTGAATAATCCATCAGTGCCGATGGGTACCCCTGCTTTCATGACAATGAAGGCGTCAGCCATTTTCCTCGCCACTGCCCCTCACATGGTGAAAAAGGCTTTTGCCTTTCATCATGCCTTTAATAATGTCTGAGCATTATGACAAAAATAGGTTTGACTTTGTGCAGATCCTGAAAGAGTCCCAAGGACCCCCCCTTTGAGAACCACTGGTACATCACTGCCATAAGGCAGATGGACAGTCAAACTGACACAAACACGAAACTCAGAGCCAGGAAGCTTGCCGTTTTTCATTCATTACACTGCACTGAAAAATGCACCCTCGATTCTCTGCCTGGGGAGTTTGAGGTGAAAAATAAGAATATGCACACTCTGGTTGCAGGCAATCTTCACGTTCACGTGCACATGGTACTCTCGGCTTTGGCAAAGGTCGACCAGTCCCACAAAATACTGCATTTGCCCATGTCCCACTGCAGCTGTTTCCAAGCGTTAGATGTTACAAAGTGAAAGCCTATAGATAAAGAACGTGCACAGCCTGTAAAATGCCACCGACAGGAATAATGCCTCCAGATGACAAGGGCCTAAGTGCTGTGCACAACAGTTTGCTGGTAAGGCACGAGGGCCAGCAACGCTGGTGGCCCAGGGGCACTGCAGGAGTCACCATCTGAGAAAACAGCATCGTGCCTACGATCCAGTGCAGGAAAGCAACCTTTCAGCTGGCTTTTTCTTTAGTTTTGCAGACACCAGCCCCACCAGTCCTCTGCAGAACTCCCCACGGAGGATTCAGATTCCCGCCAGCTCATCTCACCCCCCCCAAGTCATAATGAATTTTAAAAGTCAATAAATGCATTAACTTGTAGAGCTACAAAGCCCTCTACTCATTAAAGCCCTTCAAATAAAGAGTCCAGCCTAGGAAACTCCAGCTGCCACCTAAGGGATTGCTACTCCCAACGTGTACAAGGATGCTGCAACATTTACAGTGTAGTCCGTAAATCATCCCATCTGAGCACATAAAATGAAAACAGACAAAGCATGAAAAGATCTGGCGGGAACTCCCCTGGTGGCGCAGTGGTTAAGACCCTGCGCTCCCAAAGCAGGTGGCCCGGGTTCGATCCCTGGTCAGGGAACTAGATCCCACATGCATGCCACAACTAAGGAGCCTGCCTGCCGCAACTAAGACCCAGTGCAACCAAATAAGTAAATTATTATTTTTAAAAAGAGAGAGAGATTTGCAAAAACTAAACAAAAACAAAAAAGAAAAGAGCCGGCTATTGGGCTATTTTTGCAATTTAAGAAGAACAACAAAAAAAATCAGTGACCGTCTAAGAGTATCTACCCAAATAAAAAAACATCAACATATGGGAAACATAACACACTGCTGTGGCCACCATGGGCGGTGCCGATGGGAACCATGTCAGCTCTACTAAAACTGCCTTTCTGTTCTCTGATCCTGCAACTTTGCCAGCATAACCCAAATCAAAACGTGAAATGAATACGTACCCACTGCCTTTGTGCCGTTTCCTTCATTGACTCCGTGAAAGCGACAGCGAATCTAGGAAAATGAGCAAAAATAATGAAAATGATTAGGGCAGAATCTAATTAACATAACTGTGAAACAGCTCTTTGGAACAAATTGTGAGAGACAGGTAAGTAGCTGAATTTACAGTGCGATCAATCTTTATTAGTCGTGGTCATTGGCTGTTAGATTTCATCTCCACTCACATCCCCCAAAAAAGTTCTGTCTGCAGAAAATGAACAAATGAAGCTCAAAACTTCCTGTTTCTTGTTCCTTCATGGAAGGTGAGAGAAGCAGAGATAAAGACAGAAAACAAGAGGGACTTCCTTGGTGGTGCAGTGGTTAAGAATCCGCCTGCAGGGGAATCCGAATGCAGGGGACACGGGTGCCAGCCCTGGTCTAGGAAGATCCCACATGCCAAGGATCAACGAAGCCCGTGCGTCACAACTACTGAGCCTGTGCTCTAGAACCCGTGAGCCACAACTACTGAGCCCACGTGCCACAACTACTGAAGCCCGTGTGCCTAGAGCCCACGCCCTGCAAGGAGAGAAGCCTCCACAATGAGAAACCCACGTGCTGCAACGAAGACCCAACGCAGCCAAAAATAAAATAAATAAATTTATTAAAAAAAAAAAAAGACAGAGAACAAGATGCACTAGAGAGGCAAGGAACTTAGATAATATTCAGGGGCAGGTGATCCGGTCCACTGGCTTTGCCAAAGGAAAACTAGGCAAAAGGGTTCAAGATTTACTGAATGTCCCCGTTCATCGAGAAATGGCGGTTTCCAGAAGCAGGACTGGGTACACGTGGAATGAACCAGGAATATCTTATGGGGCCAGAAAGTAAGAAAGCACTCAAAACATGGCAAGGGCTTGTCGAAAGGATGCAGGAGTCAACTCAAAATATCTCCAATGGCCATGGCTGGGGTGATCTGGGCACCAAAATAAGTAATAGGAGTGATGGGTAACCCATAGAGTCAAATAAAATAAATAGCCATGGGTCTGTGTTGATGTAACTAAATAATTGAATAAGTAAATGGGGTCCAACAGACAACTCTTCCTTATAGTAGAATTCCAATTAACAAATGTATGAGTGGTAGAAACAGAAAGTCATCAGTGCGCAAACGGCGCAGTACAAATTGTTGCAACCAAGAACCATTAACAGGGGATTCCCTGGTGGTTGAGTGATTAGGACTCAGAGCTGTCACAGCCGGGACCCGGTTTCTATCCCCGGTCGGGGAACGAAGGTCCCGCAAGCGGCACCTGGCGTGGCCAAAAAAGAACCATTAATAGATGATTCCTCCCCACTGGCATGACCTGGAAAGGGGAGCTCGCGCCCCGCGGCCTGTGTCTTCTCCAAGCCTTCCGTCTTCCCCCTCCTCACTCTCCCCAAACCAGCCACCAATCGCAGACACAGCCAAATCGCATGCCTCTTACTTAAGGGAGAAATACGGAATCCTTCCCTTTGGGTAGAATAAACGTGAGCAAGCAGGACCAGACCACCTCAGACCTTGCATCTGAGCCCAGTAGGGATCGGACTGCTGGCATCACTTATGAGATGCTCTCCACGTCCCCCGAACATTGGCAAGAAACACAAATAAACTGTATTCTGAGGGCATCAACTTTACTCCAAGAAATGAGGATAAAAAGGAGAGAAAAGCAACTAAATAGCAACTGCAAGGAGAGTGCAGAAGCCTTCCTTTGTGGAAATCTGCAAAAATGAGAAACTTAAGAATCAAACAAAGAACAAACTATGCATGTAAATTGCCTGTCACAGTTCCTGGTCCCTAATTCATTTAACATCTGATAAACATCTGCTATTATTATGTTCTACTAGTACTAACACCACTACTGGGACTTGTGCAAAACATTAGGGCGCCCCACGTGGCCAGTGAACAAATTATTTGACAGCCTAAAACCTTCAGAAAAAAAAAGACACCAAAAGCAAGAAGAGCCATCGGACAAAGAATAAGGTCAATAACACAAAGACCAAGCAATTTACCCCATAACAGCGTTTATGAATAAATGCACAAGTGCAGTTTTCAAGGTGGGTTTTGTGGAATGTTAAAGCCACTCATCTGGCAAGCGTGATGCTCTACTTTTCGGTGAGAATGTCAGCTCCACATGGGCTGGAACGCTGCTCTGTTCATGGCTACCTCCCCAGCCCCTGGAGTGTCTGGCACCCGGGAGACGGGCAAAAATACCTGCTGCCTGTATACGTGTATAAGTAAGAGAAGGAACAGTTCTGCCTCAAATTCCAACAGGAAGCAGGTGAGGGGGAGGGATGGGTGGAGACGGGGAGGAAAGAGCAGGAAAATGTCCCAGGTGTGCAGAGCGGACCCTGTGTGCACGGCAGCCCGGCAGCTGACTGTGACTGTCCCCCACCCATGTGACCGTCCCCACCATCACGTCCTGCTCATTTCAGGACCCAAAATGAGGCATCAGTAGGAGCTACAGCGTCAGTTTAAGACAGCAGGGAAGGATGAGAGTCTTGGGAAGGTTCTCCTCAAAGGTGCATGTGAAAATGTTTTTGGAGTCAGAGGGGTGAACTGGAGCTAACTTGAAAGACATGCCACTTATTCCAGGGCCACAGATAACACGGTCTTTCTTCTGGCTCCTCATATAGGAACAGGGGGCCTGGCTTTACACCCACCTAATAGATAAACTTTTAAGAGAGTTTCTAGCCCAAAGATCCTTGGAAGATAAAGATATTTAAAATAACACATTTCTACCATTTGCAAAAGCCAAGACATGGAAACAACCTAAGTGTCCATTGACAGAGGAATGGATAAAGAAGATGTGGTTCATATATATAATGGAATACTACTCAGCCGTAACAAAGAATGAAATAATGCCATTTGCAGCAACATGGATGGACCTAGACATGATCATACTAAGTGAAGTAAGTCAGACAGAGAAAGACAAATACCATATGATATTTATATGTGGAATCTAAAATATGGCACAAACGAACTTATCTACAAAACAAACAGACTCATGGATGTAGAGAACAGACTAGTGGTTGCTAAGGGGGAGGGGGGTTGGGGGAGGGATGGAGTGGGAGGTTGGGGTCAGCAGATGTAAACTATTATATATAGGATGAATAAACAACAAGGTTCTGCTGTACAGCACAGGGAACTATACTCAATATCCTGAGATAAACCATAATGGAAAAGAATATTTAAAAAAGAGTGTATATATATGTAAAGCTAAATCACTTTGCTGTACAGCAGAAAGTACCATAATGTTGTAAATCTACTATACTTTAATAAAAAATAAAATAAAGTAAAATACTATTTAAGGTAACATAAAAATAAAATAAAATAACACATTTTTTAGGAAAAATATAAAAGTACCACTTTTGCACTTTTGCTTGAACACTGCCATTTCAAAACACACTTACTTTGACATAGAATTCTGTTTGTCAAAAACATCTTTAGTAACACTGAAAAACCATATGAAATTACCAACATTCAACCAGTTTTGACCTACAAAACAGTAATTTCACGTGCCATTGATTCCGTAATCGTGAGAGTATTTGTGAGGCAATTCATTTCACACAAACTCTCGTTTGCTCATTTGCTAATGTTAAGTTAAAGTTAAAACAATGTTAAGTTTTTCTAATATGCACCTGGATAAGACTTCACTAAACAATTTCCACAAATTTCAAATACTCCTTATTTAATTTTGGTGTTTATAACTACCAAATACTTATTATAATATTCATAAGCTATAAAGTGGATGCTAAAATAAGTTCGCACACTATACCATACAGGAAAAGTTTTCAATGCTAAAAAAGTTGAAAAATATACCTTATCGGGAAAATATAACTATTTAAATGAAACACTTGTTATAAAGCTAGACAAGTTCAATGCTTTGTTCTACAGAAAAGTATGCTGTATTGTGTTGGACAAGAAATCTGTGATTCATGCAACTTCCCTGCCCACTAACTCCAATCAATATCCCCAAATAAAAATCAATGTGTGGGACTTCCCTGGTGGCTCAGTGGTTGAGAGTCCGCCTGCCGATGCAGGGGACACAGGTTCATGCCCCGGTCCGGGAAGATCCCTCATGCCCCGGAGCAGCTGGGCCCGTGAGCCATGGCTGCTGAGCCTGCGCGTCCGGAGCGTGTGCTCCGCAACGGGAGAGGCCACAGCAGTGAGAGGCCCGCGTACCGCAAAAAAAAAAAAAAATCAATGTGTGTTTTAATAACAACACAATGAATAATGCTAATGATAATATCATACGATGAATTCATTCCATATGGTTTCTCCCAAGCAGAATGATTTTCCTTCTATGAGATAGTGCATTACAAACTGCAGGAACCTAAAGGCAATAAATTTTTAGGGTGTAAGAACAAGAAGAAGAAAACCTATAATGATAGATCACCTTTCGAGGTGAGCCAACACTGTTTTAATACGTTCATTTACTGTAAAACACACACACACACACACACACACACACACACGGAGCGTACTCTCTATTTTAAAAAGGTTGCATTTCCACATTTATGTCCAGGAAGTCTTCAGGAAGAAGCAGGGTCCTGAAATGCAATGCCATCTATTTGTAACCCTAGTTTTAAGGGGCAAGATTGACACCTATCTTTCCCCACAAAAAAATTAGGCTGCGAAATAGAACCTGGGGTTCTGTCCTTGGTGTGGATCAGAAATGCGACAGTTACATACACTTGAAGAAGTCTGGATTCCCACAGCTTCTCAGCCATGCGAGGGTTACAGACGAGCACAGAAAATTCATGGTTAGTATAGCTTTGTTATACAGCAGAAACTAACACACCACTGTAAAGCAATTATACTCTAATAAAGATGTTAAATAATAATAATAATAAAAAAGAAAGGAAAAAGAAAATTCAAGGTTGGCCACTTACTGGGGACATGGAAGCAACCTAAATGTCAATCAACAGACGAATGGATAAGGAAAATGTGGCATGCACATACACTAGAATACTTTTCAGCCTTAAAAAAGTAGGACATCCCAACATCTGCAACAACATGGATGAACCTGGGACATATTTATGTTCAGAGGAACAAGCCAGATGTGGAAGGACAAACACTGTATGATTCTACAGACACGTGGAATCTAAAGTAGTCAAACTCATGGAAGCATGAGTAGCATGGGAGGGGTTGGGAGAGGGGGAAACAGAGGGAGGGGGAAACAGGGAGGTATTAGTCAAAGGTCACAAAGTTTCAGTTGTACAAGATGAACATGCCCTAGAGCTCTCCTGTACAGCAGAGAGCCTGCAGGTAATAATACTGTAGGTAAACAATTTGCTAAGAGGGTAGATTTTCTGTTAAGTGTTCTTATCATAAAAATTAAAATAAAATAATAAAAATAAAGAAGGTGGGAGTAAACTTTTGCAGGTGATGGATGTGGTTATAGCATAAATTGTGATGATGGTTTCACAGGTGTACACTGATCTCCAAACACATCAAGTTGTGTGCGTTGATCATGTACAGCTTTTTGCATGGCAATCATTCCTCAGTAAAGTGGTTAAAAAATTAATAAAGCAGTGTGTCCACATTTTAAAAATTCAACACCTGTTGTTTTTTTTTTTTCCCACAGTGATTCAAAAATTTATTAGAGTTGAAAGGATGCTTCAATAGTACTGGTTGGGTTTTCGGTAAGCTTTGAATTCAGGGTGATTCGATGGCAGGTGAGACTCTGAATCATCAGCAGCCAGTGGGTGCACGGGGGGTAGAGACCACATCCACCCATGTCAACCCTTCCGTGGAATCACCCCAGAAAGCCTGCCAAGAAGAGTGCTTTGCTTTGGGTATGCATGTATATTTCTTCTTTCGATTTCATTAGCTCTTTTTTTCACAATTTTTATATGAACAGAGAGGATTTGTATTTTATTATGATGTTAGTTATTATGACTGTGATTGTTATAAAGAGAAAATGGGGTGTTTTTGTTTCCCCACCAAGCCTCCCAGTTCACTCCAGAATCCTGTACAGATATTATCATTTTCTAAGAATGCCTCGACATGAAAAAGGTTGGGAACTACAGCTCTGGGTTCTCAGCCAGGGGCAATACTTACTCTCATCCCAGGGGCTAGAAATGTGGGCAGGTGTGTTTAACTGTTGCAGTACCCGGCAGGTGCTGTGGACACTCAGTGTCCAGAGTCAGGGACACGCTGGGCAGCCCCACAATGAATAACTATCCTGCCCAAAATACCCACAGTGACCCTACTGAGAAACCCGCTCACTGGTTGCTCTCACGAACGGTTCATATATAGCCCAGAAATCTGTATAGGTTAAGAGCCACGTCAAAGAGATTCCTCTTGACACAACTAGAAACATGAAAATTACCACAGAAAACATCTTGTTAGTGAAGGCAAATATACAGTAAAGATGGTAAATCAGCCGTGTATAAAGCTAGTAGGAAGATTAAAAGACAAAGAGTAGGAAAATCACCTGTATACCACAATCTACATAGTTAAAGGAGATGCAAAACAAAAAGATGTAAAATACGTACGACGTCAAAACCAGTAAATGTTGGGGGGAGCAGGGTGGGGAAGTAAAAAGGCAGCGTTGTTAAAATGTGCTTGAACTCAGAGACCAGCAAGTTAAAATAATCACATAGATGGACAGACAGTAAATACAGTACGTAAATATGTAACATCTTTGTATGGTGACAGACGGAAACTAGACTTATCGTGGGGATCATCTTCAAACGTAGACACATATTGAATCACTATGTTGTGTAACAGGAACTAACATAGGGTTGTAGGTCAATCATACTTCAAAACCAACCAATCAAACAAACAAACTCAGAGAAAAAGAGATTGAATTCGTGGCGACCAGAGGCGGGGAGTGGGGAAGGGGCAATTCGATGGAGGCAACCAAAGGTACAAACTTCCAGGTGTAAGATAAATAAGTCCTAGGGATGTCACGTACAACATGATACATATAATTAACCCTGCCGTATGTTATATGTGAAAGTTAAGCAAGTAAATCCTAAGAGTTCTCACCACAAGGAAAAAAGGTTTTTTTTTCTATTTATTTACATTTGTATCCATACGAAATGATGAATGTTCAGTAAACTTACTGTGATAATCGTTTCAAGTACGCAAGTCATATCATTATGTTGTACGGCTTAAACTTATACAGGGCTGCACGTTAATCGTATCTCAAGGAAACTGGAAAAAATATTCTACTTGGGGAAACCTGATGCAAAGTCAACCCCAATCTGTGTGCTAATAAAGTTTGAGTTTATCCATATCATCTCTTAGCAAGAATTCTGTTTCTTCCACCACTCAGAACATTCTAAGCACGTTCATCCAATATTAACTGTAGTCAAAGAACTATTCAAGTGCAATAACTTGTTTACAATGACTATTTGTGGCAAAATAAACAGGCATCAAATGAAAGGAAAGATGAACAAAAAGAAAGAAATCGATTCTACATGGAAAGATGTAAACCTCCCAAACTACTGGTTTCCTCTGTCTTTGTGTGTCAGTGAATTTCATCCAAAAGGGTTAGATGCTTAACTCCTGTGAAATTCTCTTAAGTATTACCTGGCTTCTTCTAGGACTTTTCCCATCACTTTGTTTTTTTCTCCCTGCTTAACGTCTTCATTTAAATCAGTTCCACCAAAGATGATTCCAAAAGGAATTCCATGACCTGCAAAATAGGATAATTAACAAACCTTTGGAAACACCCCTTGGTAACCATCCCAAAGCGACAATATCCAAAACTGAAGTTCCCAGAACATAGGGGGCATATTTGGTTGTTTGTTGAATTTTACCCACAGCTCTTCTGAAGAGAACAGGTGTCACTGTTAAGGACATGACATGGGGTTAATCACGTGAGACAAGACGATTTTAAATCAATTTACTTTCAATTTGAACACATGAAAAATGTTGTTGGCCTCCATCTATCAAAGCCAAGCATATCGTTCGGAAATGGGTTAATCTGGAGCTACTGGTGCTTTTATGACAGAAAAAGAGGGCTTCAAATTTAGATCTGCTGTTCATAGTAACCGTCACCGTGCTGGCAAGGAACCAAGAGGGAGAGGAAAGAGACACATACTGTATCTTCAGGCACACACAGTACAACAGCGATGATAGAACTTGGAGGGCACAAATATATGGGAACCAAAAATACTGGAGATGTTGGCGCGCGTCAAATGGAAAAGGATTCCCCCGGGGAGCATATTTATTCTGAATGAAGGGCCCTGGGCTGATGCAAGGCACATTCCCTGGCTTGGTCATTTCACAAGGCACCAAGCATGCACAGATCAAGGTAAACAGTGTGCTCATCAAACAGGGCTCCCCAGAAGGCCTTCCAAAGGTCAATAAAAATTTCAAAAAAGCAAAGGCAAACCACTAAACAGACCAGATCTAACTTGAGTCCATACTGGGGTTTCTCAAACAAGCCATCTCTACTGAGATTCAATATGTAAGTGGAAAAGGTACAGATCTTTCCTTGTATTTGCCTTAGAAGTGTTTTGTCACGCAAATGAGCAGATTCTATCTATCTTTTTTCTTTCTGGTGAAGTGCCTCTCACTTCACTGCGAAGAATTCAGCCTTTAGCTACTAAGCACACCAATAACACATAAGAGGTACAGAAAGCCTGTAAGTAAAAAACTCAAATGAAAACTTAAAAAAAAAATTTTTAAGTAAAAAAAAATCAAGTGCATTTTGATTAACACAATATGTGTGTAGGAAAACAATAAACATACATTTCTCTGTACAAAGAACACCTGTGAAAGGATAAACAGAAAAAACCTAGCTGCTGTTGCCTCTATAGAAGGGACCCTGGCAGTCCAGTGGTTAGGGTTCAATGCTTTCACTGAGGGCCCAGGTTCAAGCCCTCGTTGGGGAACTAAGATTCCACAAGCTGCACGGCGTGGCCAAAAGAGAAAAGAAAGAACCCGGAAGGCGACAGATGTGGAACAGGAGAGAAACTTACTTCTTTTCTCTCTATAACATTTTGTATTGTTTGCATTTCTTACTATGGACCAGTGTGACCTTTTCCAAAAATACTAAACAGCCAGGCAGACACGGAAAGGCGAGTGCGGTAGAGATGATTCCTCTTCTGCCATGGGCTTAGACTTTGGGGGATGCTGAGATAGGGTGAATAATTTTAGCACGTGGGATGGACTTGAACCTTTGGGGACCAGTGGTAGGTAGAATAATGGCCTCCAAAGACATCCATCTGTAATTCCTGGAATCTATGAATATGTTACACAGCAAAGGGAAATTAAGGTTTTGACTAATCTCTTCCTCTGTTTCTTGTTGAGAACATGCTTTAGGCTTGAACCTAAAGGAACAGGCAGCATCAGGTGTCTGATTAAGAAGCCAGGTTCAGGAAACCACGAGATTTTCTTCTCAGCCAGCTACTGGGAGTGACCGGTTTTCTGCATAAGCACTGATTTGGAAAGATCGCTAAGTTATGCACTTAAATATACAAAGTAGGGCTTCCGGGGGGCGGCGTGCCCCCCCCCCCCCCCTGCCGATGCAGGGGACGCGGGTTCGTGCCCCGGTCTGGTCAGATCCCACATGCCACGGAGCGGCTGGGCCCGTGAGCCATGTCCGCTGAGCCTGCGCGTCCAGAGCCTGTGGTCCGCAACGGGAGAGGCCACAACAGTGAGAGGCCTGCGTACCGAAAAAAAAAAATATATGTATATATATACATATATATATATATATGTATTTTATATATACAAAGTAAGGCCTGCATATGAAGAGAGGGTCCAACTTCCTATGGTGTGGGAAGCAAGAGAGAGAGCTGGAAGATTAAATAAGGTTTGATACAGTGCAGGGAAACAGGAAGTCACCTTTAGCAATGAAACGTCTGAAAATCTCAGAAGTTGACACATTTTGCTAAGTGAAATGTTATCCACATTTTGCTAAGTGAAGTGTTATCCCCGTATGATGATTACTGTAGGTAATTTGGGGCCTCAAGTGACATACGGTCTCCTGAAAAGCTGCCACTGCCATGTCATTTAATTCATATTTGGAAAAAGCCACTCACGGCTCAACAACAAAATTATCTGCCCTGCCTCTACTCAGTGGCCGCTGGGCTCTCAGTGAAGTCAAATTGGCCTTGGGAGGGTTAAGAAGAAATATCCAAAAATTGTAGCTAAAGCCAAGAGGATGACTGCATGCACATCATTTCGAGGTCCAAGGAAGCAGTGTTTTTTGTTTTTGTTTTTAATTTATTTTTATTTATTTATTTCTGGCTGCATTGGGTCTTCATTGCTGTACGTGGGCTTTCTCTAGCTGTGGCGAGCAGGGGCTACTATTCGTCATGGTGCGCGGGCTTCTCACTGCGGTGGCTTCTCTTGTTGCGGAGCACAGGCTCTAGGTGCGCAGGCTTCAGCAGTTGTGGCACACGGGCTCAGTAGTTGTGGCTTGTGGGCTCAGTAGTTGTGGCTCGCGGGCTCTAGAGTGCAGGCTCAGTGGTTGTGGAGCACAGGCTTAGTTGCTCTGCAGCATGTGGGATCTTCCCGGACCAGGGCTCGAATCTGTGTCCCCTGCAATGGCAGGAGGATTCTTAACCACTGCGCCACCAGGGAATCCCGGAAGCAGTGTTTAAAGGTCCCCATGGATTCGTTTTCTAAGAGAAGGTACTGTTGTTTGACCTCAGTATTTACTATTAATTAAGAGCTCATGCTTTGTGCAGTTGCATCCAATACTTTGCAGGCAGAGATGCAAATCATTTTGCTGCAGTTGTAATGGTTTATGTTAGAAGTCAATTTGGTCTAAGGGAGGCCCAGAGAGCTGGTAAAACATGATTTCTGGATGTGTCTGGGAGGATGTTTCTGGAAGAGATTAGCATTTGAATCTGTAGTCTGAGGAAGGAAGATCTCCCTCAACAATGCAGGAGGGCCTCACCCAATCCGTTGAGGGCTTGAATAGAACTAAAAGGGGGAGGAAGGGTGAATTCATGCTCCTCTGCTTAAACTGGGACACCCATCCTCTCCTGCCCTCGGACATCACCACTCCTGGTTCTTGGGCTTCTAGACTCAGACTGGGGCTTACACCGTCAGCCCCCCAATTCTCAGGCTTTCAGACTCGGGTTGAACGAAACCACCGGTTTTCCTGGGTGTCCAGCTTGCAGATGGCAGACTGTGGGAATTCTCAGCCTCTATAATGACATAGCCAATCCCTATAATAAATCTTCACATACATATATGTGTACGTGTGTGTGTGTGTGTGTATCTATATCTACATCTGTATCTATATCTATATCTCCTCTTGGCTCTGTTTCTCTAGAAAACCCTGACTAACACACCAGTAGAAAAGATAGCTCCCCGCAACCCTCGGGACTTCCCTGGCGGTCCAGTGGTTAAGACTCTGCGCTTCCACAGCAGGGGACACGGGTTCAATCCCTGGTTGGGGAACTAAGATCCCACATGCCATGCAGCACGGCCGAAAAAAAAAAAAAAAAAAAAAAAAAGTAAGAAAAGAAAGCCCCAAAGCTTACAGTTGATTGCCCTGCTGGACATAACCAGTTCTGCAGCTAAACTAATCCTAGCCTATTCAAATTTCAGTCCCTCCGTGGATGGATCTAGAGACTGTCATACAGAGTGAAGTAAGTCAGAAGGACAAAAACAAATATTGTACATTAACACATATATGTGGAAACTAGAAAAATGGTACAGATGAACCGGTTTGCAGGGCAGAAATAGAGACACAGATGTAGAGAGCAAACACCAAGGGGGGAAAGTGGGGGTGGTGGTGGGATGAATTGGGCGATTGGGATTGACATGTATACACTGATGTGTATAAAATGGATGACTAATAAGAACCTGCTGTATAAAAAAAATAACAAAATTCAAAAAAAAATCTCAGTCCCTCAAATGCTCTTTAAACTGGCTTTAGTATCTTAGTAGTTTCTTCATTAATAAATCAGTTGAATAAACTCTCTCCTGTGTGCTCACTTCTATATTTTCTGAAAGAGTCCCATTTTTAACTTTTGAAAATTAGACTTTGAGTTAAGAAATACACATCAAAAACATTCAGGATAAAACTCTTCATGCCGTAGGGACTTCCCTGGTGGTGCACTGGTTAGGAATCCACCTGCCAGTGCAGGGGACAGGGGTTCAATCTCTGGTCCGGGAAGATCCCACATGCCGTGGAGCAACTAAGCCCGTGCACCACAACTACTGAGGCTGCGCTCTAGAGCCCGTGAGCCACAACTACTGAGCCCACGTGCCACAACTACTGAACCCTGCGTGCCTTGAGCCTGTGCTCCGCAACAAGAGAAGCCACCGCAATGAGAAGCCCGCACGCAGCAACGAAGACCCTACGCAGCCAAAAATAAATAAATTTACTAAAAAAAAAATTGTAAAAAATAAAGACTCTACATGCCGTAAAAACAGCTTTAGTATATATGCATACATTCTCAATTGGTGTAGTTACATCGTTTTTAGAAAACTACTCCGTTTAGAAGAGCAAAGCAAAAAGGTGATTGTATCCATTCCATTTCTGAGCGGGCATGAGCTGCTTCATCGATGTTTAAGTTGAAATCACAGGCGCTCTGGTTTTGTGACTGCTAGGGCTCCACCTTTGGGGAAGGGGGGGTTACCTGGCAGAAGTCTACCCCCTCTATATAGATGAAGAGCCATAGCTGCCTCCAAGCTCTCAGCCTTGATGAAGTCGGAGATTTCGGATGGGCTTTCAAAGTCCAAGGCATCTTTCAGAATACACACGTGACCCGCAGCTTCTAGATGGTCCCTTTATCAAAAAATACACAGAGAAAGAAAAAGACAGGAGAAAACAACATTAAAAGGGCACAAGTTGCTGCTGTGGTTAAAACTGAAAACCAATCCAAAGATTAGTCAAATCAGAAGTTAATAATACATAATTTTCTGAATTGTCCTTTAGAGACAATCCACCTAAAATACATTCATCCACCAGTCTCAGACACCAGGACTGGGACTGACACTGAGGCCAGCAGGATGAAGGGCCAATTCAGGAAGGCTTGGCAGCCTTGACACACAAGGCACCCACGGCCACTTCCAGTGACATTTGCTGCACCAGAAAGCTCCCTTCCGTTCTTTAATTCTTTGATTTCACTTTTTCCTCCTGTTTCTCAAAGTTTGTGTTTAGGCATCTGTGATTCAGTTTTTCATCAAGAATTCAAAAGTCACCCAGTATCAGAGCTTCAAGAAATACTCCATGGCCTTTCCATTCTACCTCCCAAATATCTTTCAAATATGTCTCTTTTCTTCTCATCCTTGTTCAGTTCCTTGCAACAGACATCTAAAATACAAATCCGATAAACCAAAAAGAAACTTCCTGAATGGCAGAAATAGCATGAGCAAAATCAAAGGACAAATGAGAAACTGGGTAGGGGGAGAAACAACTATTTACAACACTTACAAAAGGATAGAATCTAATTTGCTTAATATGTAAAGAACTCTCATAAATCAATAAGAAAAAACCCTAACAACCCAATAGAAAAATAGGTATCACCATAAAATTGCAGTCCATGCCAAACAAAACAAAACAAAACAAAAACAAAAACAAAAACCCTACAATTGGGCTTTTAAATATGAGAAATGGTGATCAACTTCAGTCATCCTTTTAATGTAGAAAATCTGTAAAGAACAAAAGTCTGTCTATGGCTTCATGAAATAAACATTCCTATACTGGGTAAACTGGTACAAGCTCTTCTGTGGGCAAACTAGAAACAGCTAATATATTTAAAATGCACAAACTCTGTGACCAAACAACTCCACTTCTCAGAACTGATTCCAAAGACACACTTGGATATGAGTGCAAAACATGCACCCAAGAATAAGCACCGAGGCTATATCCGAAGTAACAAAAAGACTAACACTGACCTCAGTGTGCGTCAGTAGGGGACCAGTCATATTATGGCGCATATGAGGTACTCAGGTCTGATGCCATGAATAGAGTATAGAGTGCAGATCACTGTGAAGTCATTTAGAATGAACTCCAAGACACATTGTTAATGAAAAGAGGACACATTGTTAATGAAGTGTTCTTCAAAAGGTGAAGAACACTTTGTGCATATATAGTATGTGTGCACAGAACGTCTTTAGAAGGATACAGAAGAAATAGATAATAATGATTCTGTCTAAAGAGGACCAGGGACCAGGGTGGGGGAGAGATTATCTTCTCAACACAGACCATTTTGCATGGCTGGATCCTTTGACCAGGTGCATATATTAACTTTTTTTTTTTTTTTTTTGCGGTACAGGGGCCTCTCACTGTTGTGGCCTCTCCCGTTGTGGAGCACAGGCTCCAGACGCACAGGCTCAGCGGCCATGGTCACGGGCCCAGCCGCTCCGTGGCATGTGGGATCTTCCCTGACCGGGGCACAAACCCGTGTCCCCTGCATCGGCAGGCGGACTCTCAACCACTGAATCACCAGGGAAGCCCTATCTTATCTTTTAAAATTGTTTGAGGTGCATGTGAATATACAACCAATCCAACCAGGTTCATTAAAACCCTCAAATGGGGACTCCCCTGGCAGTCCAGTGGTTAAGACTCTGTGCTTCCACTGCAGGGGATGCGGGTTTGATCCCTGGCTGGGGAACTAAGATTCTGCATGCTGCATGGCACAGCCAAAAAACAAAAATTAAAAAAACAAAACAAAAACCCTCAAATGGCTTGGGGTAGTCAGCCCAACTGTCAACTCCATGAGAATGGGGCCTGGATCTGTCTTGCTTAATGAATAAACTAATGGCTGAATGTGTCTCTGGGATCAAGTCCAAATGCCCTAGCCTAGCACACAGCACCCTTCATAGCCTGCATCCCCTGCACAGCCAGGCACATCCCACTCTTGACACCCTTAGCTCCAGTCCAGCCCTTCCACCTGCAGGACACGCAACGCATCATGTCTTCTGAGCCCCGTGACCATGTCCTGACGTTCCCCAATGCCAGCTCCCTTCAGTGAAATCTGACAGCCCCTGCTGCTAACACAGCCATCTCTCTCACTGTTTCCATTGTTCTCCGAGCCCATCGCTACCACAATCACTCTGGGATGCAGTTATATGAACAAGGCAGTCACATCGTACTTAGTGCTTCTATTACAGAATCAATAACCTACAAGGACCTACTGCATAGCACAGGGAACTATACTCAATATCTTGTAATAACCTATAATGGAAAAGAATCTGAAAAAGAATGTGTGTGTGTGTGTGTGTGTGCGTGTGTAGAGAACTGAATCACTTTGTGGTACACCTAAAACTAACGCAACATTGTAAATCAACTATACTCCAAAAAAAAAAAATTGGAGAAAACAAACAAACAAAAAAACACAAAATCAGCACATAGGTGGCAATCAAGGACACTTAAAATTACCCTTGAAAATCTCTTAAATCATCTAGAAGATACTATACTACAAAGTTTAAACCCAATATAGCCATTTTTTCCCCCTAACTCCAACAATAATAAAGATTGTTACTCTTCAGCTGAACACCAGATGGATTAGCTGGCTTGCACTTAGGGGCAATAGTGTATGAAATAATAAGAGTAAACATAGAAGAATGAAGGATCTAGAATCTTTAAGCAAAATGACCATAAAATGACCAACCTGCTTACACCGTGGGAGCCTCAGGGGAACTAAGGACCTCTGAAGAAACGTTAGATTCAAACCCTCAAGACCCCACCCACTCTGGGGAATATGGTGAGAATCCTCACCTACTGTACTACGGGCATGCTAAATTTTCTCTCTCTTTCTCGTCTTTCCGTTTTCTCTTTTGTGTTGTAAATTAAATGCACAAGACTGCAGCTGTCACTGGGCCAAGAAAGAAAAACTAAGGCCTGAAGACTTGAGTTGGCTTCTGCTCTCAAAGTATGCTGAGTATCTTGATCTTATCATTTCCACTGTTAAGGCTGATCCAAGCACTGCCACCGCCCCACCCATGCTGATGGCAACTAACTGTTAAGCAGAGCTAGGACAGAAGCCTGCAGGCAGTCTAGATGGCTCGCTTCAGCCTAAAACTACACACCATGCAAAAATAAGGATGCAATGTGCTTCAGAGGATGGGTGAAATAATTGTTATTCCATCTTCTTAAAACTTTAAAACGAGAAGCCAAAAATAAAAAGGTGCTGATAAATGGAAAAGAAACAATTTGAATTCTACTTAGGAAATCCATACCTGAGAGATTTCTGGCTGATGCAGAATCTATAGGGTAGGGCATATGGGTTGGGGGTGGTTAGGTACAGATAACGGCTCAGTTCTTGATTTATTAAACCTATTTTCAAATGGCATTTCAACACTAGCTTTATTTATTTATTTATGGCTGTGTTGGGTCTTCGTTTCTGTGCCAGGGCTTTCCTAGCTGCGGCAAGCGGGGGCCACTCTTCATGGCGGTGCGCGGGCCTTTCACCGTCGCGGCCTCTCTTGTTGCAGGGCACAGGCTCCAGACGCGCAGGCTCAGTAGTTGTGGCTCATGGGCCCAGCTGCTCCGCAGAACGTGGGATCTTCCCAGACCAGGGCTTGAACCCGTGTCTCCTGCATTGGGAGGCGGATTCTTAACCACTGCACCACCAGGGAAGCCCAACACTAGCTTTGTGATCTCATTAATATTCCAAAATAGTTTTTTTTTTTTAATCTTAATTCTCTATGGACTGATACTCGAGCCTTCTTTCCAGTTGACTTGTAACACCTTTAAATTGCTCTGTCCTGGTTCCTTCTGAAACTGAGCAGGACCCTGTGGGGCTCCTGGGCACAAAATCCTTTCTGTGTCCCCCGTTTCTTGTTTGCAGGAAACAGGCTTCATTCAGCCTCCACAAGCTTCCCTGAGTTCCAAAGGGCAGGTTCAAACAATTGCTAATCAGGGAAGGGTGGGGATGCAGAGACAGAGGAGGAGCAGTCAAGACACAGTAGTGCAGCCTGGGGACAGGGTCCTGGTTGGAGATTTTACCTGAGACCAGATTAAAGGAGTGCAGGCCCTGCACACACTCTAATCCTTATCAGCAACCCCATCCTTGAACCACTGCTATAAAACTCCTCACCAGTTATTTGAATTTCTGTGAAAAAACTTCCCAGTTTTAAGTTTGGATTGGGACACACAGTTTCGAGGGCAGGAGCCCGCTGTGCCCCCCTTTGTCTGGCAAAGCAATAAAGCTACTCATTTCTACTTCAGCCAAAACTCTGTCTCCGAGGTTTGATTCGGCACCTGTGCACAGAGGCCGAGCTTTCAGCATCACTTCTGTGAATGATAACTTGATTCAACTAATAAATTCGCTGAGCACCTATTATGTCCCAGGAGTTCTGGCTTATTTGGCTTAAGGAAGGCTTTTTATTTATTTATTTATTTTGACAATGAAAGCATCTCCGATAAATTAAGAGACTTTGAGTATGCTCCAGGAACTGACTGAAGCTCCTTGCACACCCCTGACCCAAGATTCAAAGATTCAGTGGGGCTCTACCTGCTTCCACCTCACTGAAAGCCATCCCCTTTAACTGAGTACACAAAAAGGCTTAATCGTTTGTGTGTTTGACTTACGTGAATTTCCATAAACTATGATGTCTTGATTAAAGAAAAAAAAAAGATAGCAAGAGAAAAAAAAAGATAGGGCAGGCAACACGAATTGCATTCCATTCCATAGCCGTGAGCCCCTGCATGATCCTGAGATGGGAAACAGGAATCTAATATTCCTTAAGGCCGTCCCACACTGTGGGCCTCTTGAGTGCAAGCGCCTGGCCGGGAGCACTGCTTCTCACAGGACACAGCACCCACTGGCAGCCCAGTGA